ACAGATTTTTTTTCTGAGTTGACAGCGTATCGGAAGCCACATTGGAAGTGTCTCTCGTGAAATATTCAGCACATTTTGTGGCTTATTTCCTAACCTTTATATAGAGAGAAAACCGTTTACATAACAACCCATAAAACGGCCATAAATTGGCCCGTGGACCACACAGGAGAGACGTAACACACATTTTAAATAAGGTAAACTGTTTTTTATTGAAATCCTTTCATTTTCGTAGGTTACAGAAACGATAGGTTTTTTTCCCATACAAATCCTTATATTTCGAATGTTGCGCCACAATGCCGATGTTCGCCGATGCTCATATTTCGAGCTTGGGCTACCTGTGTTTAAACAACGCGATGTAGGCCAGATTTCGGTTGGTTTTCAAGGTAGGTGAACAAGGCTATTATTTTTTCGATTCACAGATTTTTTACGAAGTTCTAGATATTTTTCCTCGATTGTCATATCGATTAACTTTTATCATGTTGAATGTGGGGATGGTAGACAACCTAGAATTTTGGTAGACAATTTTTGAATTCTGAGGTCCAAAACATGTACGTGTTCCTCTCCGGGGCCGGGTTTCACACAGACATGGCAGAGCCGTGTTATTACTTTCTTTCGCATTAATAAGAGCCATGCTAGTGAAGCTACGACCTCTGCGATCGGTCCGGAATCAGTTCGAACACCCCAATGTTCCTTGCAGTGAATAATTACTCTCATTCTCTTACATCAAATGCTTTCTTTTGAAATAATATGAGACCTAGACGATTACTGTAAGCTTATCTTAAAATCTGTCCGACTCCGTCCGCTGTTGTAATAAGACGGTAGACTTCGACCCCCGGGGGGTACTCTCCTATAAAAGGGACGGGGGTGCTCGTTGGAAAATTTCGACAACACCCCTAAAAAGTACCAGAATCTTGTTTTATGGGCGTGTCCCAAATTCATTTCCACCCCTAGGATTCAATTCAACAACAACAAATTTTATAACTGGCACTGCGAATTTTATAGTAGAAAACATAACTTTTGAACACTTTTTTCCCAAGAACTTTTTGAAAGTATTGTCATAATTCTTACCGAGACAACTCTGGCAGCAGTCATTTTCGGTTTTAGCACCCTGAGCCGTACCAATCCACAAATGTAAACCCCTAAAAGGTACGACGAGCACCCCGTCACTTTTATAGGGGAGTACCCCGCGGGACTTCGACATAATCTGACAGAGATGCTAACCTCGGGAGATCTAAAATCTGGGGACTCTCTTTTCTTCACTACCCCCCAGAAATTTCAACCTCCCCCCCCCCCACCCCGACAAATTAACCCAACCCCCAATAGGAATGACTAAGGACATTAAATGAAGTTTTACATGAAGTACATACTATCGAAAATCGCAATCATCGTTTTCATGCCAGAAATAATCTTTGTCAGTGACTAAATACGTGCAAAAATGCCCGAGAAACCGTACTGCGAATAAGAAAAATTCACGGTTTGAGCTAAAAATGAGACAAATTTCAAAGCTAGTCACAGAAAAGCTCAAAAGATGATTTTATGCGGGAGATATGGTGACCCGTACGGGAGAGTGGGAGATCGGTGCCGTATCCGGGAGACTCACGGATAATCAGGGAGTGTTGGCATGTACAGTAAAATAATCATCTTCTGACCGCAGTACATGAGTAATCAGTACATGATCGAGACTGTTATGCCGTTTTTGAAGCCTGATGTAAAAAAAAAGGTAATTCTTCTTTTCGCTGTTTGTTTTGTTTGACTTGTTACTCACCGCCAGTAACCTCATATTTGACTTGGGTCTAAGCGTTTAGACCAAGTCAAATTTAGAAGGATTTCTGTGGAGTCATCAAAGCATAACTGGGCTTGAATATCTCACAGACAATTAAATTTTGCCCCGAAATGCTAGTTTTTGGCAAGTCGGCCTCTTCGATATTGCTCTTTTCAGAATATCCCGACAAATCCCATTATTTCACACATTGACACCTTATCATATATCATTTCTTACTATTCCTCCACAATTACAATTAATTCCACAACTACGACGCCGAAGTGTACGCTACGTAGCGTCTTGTTACATGAAAAACACAACGCGCAATACAAAAACAAGTACATTAACAGTCACTCTGCTAGACAAAACTGAAAGAATAAGAAGAATTATTACCGCTATCACAGTAGTCCCCAAAGAAGCCTGAGTCCCTTTTTGTTTCAATAGGCCCTTGGCAGCTGGGGTCACGTGATCAAATCCTTCCTTAAAAAATCTATATTATGGGCTATAACTTAAAGAATGCCAGAGATGGAAAGAGCATATCGAAAATACCATAGTGGCCAAGTTTGGGCCCCTGGGATTACAGTCATTACAAAGTACTGTTTATACAGCAGTTTGAACTTTCGGAAAATTAAGAGGATTTGTATGGAAAAAGTTGTTGGAGAGCAAGGCTTTGCTCTTTAACAACTTTTTCCGTACAAATCTTCTTATTTTTTAAAAAAATTCAGACTGTCATAAAATCTCATTCTTGAATGATAGGGGCCTCAAACTTGGCCATTTTGATATTTTCGACATTTTTTTTCCATTTCTGAAATTTTCTAAGTTATGGCCCATAATTTTATGAAAAGTAGGTCACATGATTGCTTACCTGCAAAGGGCCTATTGTTGACAATCTTCTCTTCCTTCATCGGAAGAGAATTTTAATCACAGGTAACTCCTTGTGTTCCGCATTGTAAAAATCAAAATCACTATTGTCACACTGTTTTCCAGCTACACAACTCTTGCGACTCTCAAACTTGATATACATTCTTCTGTTCAAAGTCTTATCGATTTTACACGTACACTCCTGACATTCCGATTTGTCATTGCGTCTATGAGGTCCATGGTCTTTGAATGTCTTGACAATTTCCTTTTTTTTTTCTTTGAGTTCGGAGACCAGAACATTATGAAAACGCTCATTGTTATTTTACAGTGGGCCTACCGCGAACAGTGTGTGCATTTGTAAGTTTAACCCTCGATAGCATACTTTGACAATACGTTCCTCGGAATTTTATACAAACAGCTTCTTCTCGCTGCTTTGAAAAATTTCGGATCAAATGATATCATTGGATTTATACTACCATCCTTGAAGCGCGACGAATTCTGCGCGTAGTTTCACATTTCAACCTGTCAGTTTTGGCCAATGAAACCGGTTAGTCTTAGTCTTGAAATTGACAACGTTTTTGGCGCCGTACGAACATGTTTTGATCACGTGCTGTCTAAGTTTTCAGGTTTTTCGTGGGAGCGTATTCTGCGTTTGTCAAAATGGTGATGCAAGTGCAAGTTCAAAGAAGGGTAGGTTTTTTAAATGAATCCGCCCTGGAGTGTTGAAGATTTTAAAAAAAACTACATTTTGCGTGAGATTCCGAAGACACGTTTTATGGATTTTGGTTTACTTTACGAAAACGATAAAGGAGAATATGTGGTGTTGAATGACGTTCGCATGGCAGACATTCGGCTCGCTTCGCCTGTTGACTTGCTTGTCTACGTTAGCACGTGCTGCGTGCCTATTGCACTTTTGCGTCAAAACAAGCCGTTTCGATTACTCTGTTTGGGCCACGCCCAAATAATAAGGTCTCTAATAGCCTTTGTGAACGAACTCAAGAAAAGAACTCAGGAGATGCTGTTCGCCGATTGGGCACAATAATACAAAGCATTTTTGTGCCCAGTCAGGAGCCAGCATTCGCTTATGGTCCGGTGAGAGTCGGTACCCAGGGGCTCTTCCGCCCGTGTTTGAAAACTTTCGTCGCGCCTTTTCTCCCGGCCCGACTTAACTGCCCCTGGGTCTCTGAGGGATTAATATATGGCCAAAAAGAGAACTTTTTCTTGCGTGACCGACGCGGGAAACCTGGAGTGGGCAAGATGGACCGGGTAGCCAATCAGAACGCAGGATTCGATTCCTATTGCCCGCTCGGGATTTCAGCCATATAATAATTGCTAATTAATGTTGCCTAACGCACAAGATAGTATTTGATAACAGTTACAAACCTTGCAACTTCTTGTCACAAAAAAAAGAAAGAATTACAAGGAAACAGAGACAAAAATTAGCACGTCCACGATCTCAGACTGATTATTTCTTGGCTAAAGCCTGTTATACACTCAGAGACGTTCTTTCAGGTCACAACATTTCCTTAGTCATTTTGTCTGATGTTATATGCTGGCTTACTCTGGGACCAGAGGCCCTTTGATCTTCCAAGATAAGTCAGGAAGTGGAAGGGATCCCTGCCTTTTTTATGATTTGCCGCTTAATCACCGAAATGGATGAGTCAGTCCAGTTGGAAAAATGATTATGCCTCTGATTGCAGGGTAATGCTGACCATTTTCGGATTGATTTACTATTTCTAACAATATTCTACATCTGGTTTCAGTCAAGGTGAAGTAGATCACCTATTTAGCGCCTTAGTCAAGGTGAAGAAGACCACCTATTTAGCGCCTTAGTTTTCCCGAATTTTACTCATGGTCTGCCTGTTTATGGCGCTGTAGACTCAGATCTCACGGTCATACAAAACTTTCTGGATCGATGCTTTAAAAGGAAATACACATCTAAGAGAATGGACATTAGAGAACTTTTAGAAAAGACAGATAAGAAAATCTTCCAGGTACGTTCAGTGGAACCCGATTGCCCCCGCTTAGTAACATCATTCCGAAGAAGAAAGAAACAAAGTATCAACTCAAAAACAAAAGTGCTCATCGCCCGGAGATAAAGACTGATGAATTTAAGAATGTTTTTAAAAATAGGCTTTTATTTAGATATAATCTTTGATCTTTCGATTACTTGTATACAGCAGGTCTTATGTATTTTTAGACTTCCGACTGCTAATGTAACTTAAGATAATCTTTTTAATCTTAGGAGGAAAAAAGATTGATTGATTGATTGATTGAACAGAATTTGGAAGGGATCCCTGCTTTTTTATGATTTGCCGCTTATTCACAGAAATGGATGAGTCAGTACAGTTGGAAAAATGATTATGCCTCTGCATGCAGGGTAATGCTGACCATTTTCGGACTGATTTACTATTTCTAACAATATTCTACATCTGAACAGAATTTTTCATTACTACGTTGATGACGACGACGACCATAATGATGATGATAATGAATGTTACACACTATCCTACAAGGTATTTTGCTCTATGTACAGTTTAAGTCACCCACATTTTTGAAATATTAAATTTTAACATCACTTCACTTTTATTTCGTAAAATTTGCCTTCGAGACAACTTGCATTATAACTACTATTATTATTTATCCAAGACGTTTTAGTTTGGATTCTTAAACAGTTACATCTACAAACTGTATAACAGTTTCATGTTTATGGTTAACATAAAGAATAATTATACAGGCATAGTTCATTTCAAATGTACAAAAACCTGTTCCTACACATCAGCAAAATGGGGACAAAACTGCCTTTTTTTTCCTCTTACAGATTTGCTGCAGTATTACTTTCAATACCCCAGTAATTTCAGGGATGTAGCTAACAAGCGGCTGCCACCAAATTTCACAAGCTTAATGAAAATGATCTTTATCACCGGCTCAAATTGCATTGGAAAATTAAGACATAAGGCTGCAACATAACTACATTATCATAATTCAAAGCCTCCCGCATTTGTAAACTTGGCCTTACGCACTCGGCATTTGATTGAATCAGCAGTCTACTGCTGACTCGGCCCTAAGCTATTTGGATTGCACACAGAGAACTGAATGCAACGGGTGTTATCACTCGCGCTCCCACAGACCGCGCTTCTCTTGTTATCAGGGAGCTTAAGCAACTACAACTCTGCGAAAACGTTACTTAAAAAGTAAATTCACGCTGCCTCAAACTGGAGTTGAGTTCCAAAGGACTGTGTCAAAAGACAGGAAAAGAAAAAAGGAAGTAGTTGTCTTCTGTTCACGTCCTCTTCAAAACGTGAGACTAGGCACTTTAACGTCTTAGTCGTTTAGTGACGGCAAAGAAATGTACAAAAAAGCGTGATGGAAAGTTGTTGTTTTGATCATCCAGACCTATTGCCTTTTTGCCGTTCTGGTTGTCGCCGCCGTCTTCGTTGATTAAGCTCCCTAATATTAATAGGAGATTGACTGAGATTGACTGAGGACGAGTCAGACTTTGTGCCCTCAATATTTTTTGGCAAGGAAGGGTGTATGTCCCTTTCTCTTAGTAGTCATATATTTTCCCTTTAGACCTCAAGTCAATAGTAATCAAATTGATGCCTGAGGGAGCTTCCGTATTTTCAACTGCCTAGTTTAGACCGGGCATTTGTTAGGGGCCTAGCACTTAATTAAAAAGAGTAGCTGGCAAAATTAATGCACGAACAGTACAAAATTTTCATCATGGTTTCAATTTCTAGTCTGTGACATAACGTGCGGTTACACGGACACTTTAACCGTGGTAAATGACCCTTTTACCGCGGTAAATTGGTGCTTGTTTGCGGACTTCCCCCGACATAAATTTATCGCGGGAAATATCCATGGTTACGTCAAAAAGAAGAAAGAAAGCGCCCATGCCATTTAACGTGGTAAATAGCAAGAGTTTTTCGATACCCAAGGCAAGAGAGCCAATCAGGTTTCTTCATTTGACAACAACATGAAACCGCAAAAAAATTTCCTTTTCCAAACGGGTTTTTTTTTTCGCGCTGTTGAGAGAAATTAAAGATCGATTGAACTGGTTTGTTGGGCCAGATTTAGCAACGATATTTCCCAAAAAAATGTGTTCTATTCCTGGCATGTAATCAATCAACGGGATGCAGCTTAGCTGTAAAATGTAATCTTAAGTCAAGATTTAAAAAAATCCTATGTACCTTCGCTAAATTATCAGGACTAACATACCAGTTGAAATTTCAGCTAAACTCCCCGGAATTTTTCAACATAACATGAAATACTGCCATGATCGACGGCGATTATTACCGCAGTGGCGTGAATGAAGCCGAAAAAGCGGCTAAATTAACTTGGGAATTAATTCATGCGTAACCACATGTTACCACGGTAAACTAAACCCACGTTAAAATTTACTACGGCCTCGTTAACGTGGGAAATGCCTTTTACCGTGGTGTGTGTAACCGCACCTATAAGTCATAGTCAATGAATTAAACAGCCATCAATTACCAAACAATGAATATAACTCAGTATAAGAGTCCATTCCGTCCTCACTTGTCAATGTATATTCAACCAACATTTCTTCATCACCAACTGATGCTCTCCTGCCGCTGTCAGTACTGTTCTTTATTCCAGAAAAAATAGCATTAACTATGCTGTGTCTGTGTTTACTGTTAGCGTGTCCTCCTGATTCCGTTTTGAAGAAGTCCGCAGGAAAGTAGCCTACTTCAAATGCAACAACAGCAGCATGATCTAACTTTCCCGGAAGCTCACGCATGTGCCTTGAAATTTCCCTGTTCCTTGTTCTCAGAAATTCCTTATTTGATATGGTCAGGTTGTGATCATCACGATCAACTTCCTCTAGGAAAGTACGCTTTTTTTCAGTGCACTTGATCACATGAGACAAAAGCTTGGCACAGACGTCCTGTGCTGAAATGCGATCTTCAGGACCTTCTTTTTGAATAACCTAAACAGAATGAATAAAGGGACAAGGTATATATTAGCAAAGCATTTTAAAGCATTTTCATGGGAGACATCAGATTGCTGGAAAGGACAATAGACCATTTCCAAGTTGCCTCATGCCACTGTTTCAAAGCCGGGCAAAGTGCCAACCATTGATATGAAAATGATTTTTTTTCTTATGCAAATGAAACTCATAATTTTTCACAACAAAGGTTTTACACTTACCGGTAGCCTCATTTCGAAAGTAAGAGAAATGGCCTATTTAGGGCAGGGCTCAAAAGAAACTTGAATTCCAGCTTGACCCTTGGGCAAGCAGCTCACACAATTTGCTTGCTCAGGGCTACTTCTTGCTGGTCTTAGTTAATAATTTTATTGGACGATGACTTGCCTGGACTAACAGTAGGCCCATTGAGCAAGTAAGCTTTAAAAGTTACTTGCCCAGCAACAAAATTTACTTATCATGGACTACCGTACAGGAAATTTTTTTTCGAGCCCTAATTTAAGGGCATTTCAAAACAATAGCAAAAGATCAAAAAGCATCAAGGACGAACATGGGCCCTTATGAGGCCCCATTGATCAACATATTATCTGATCTCCAGACAGTGTATAGTCATGTGCATAGATGGAAGAATATCACGCATAATGGCTATATCTTGGAGCTGACAAACTGTCAACACAGAAAGTAGACACAGGTTTCAGAGCATGTGTAATCATATATGTGCATTTCAGTGGACAAGCCATTGTTTTGATTTCTTACTGCCTTTTGTTTTAAGGGAAAGTGGACTCAAAAATTTCAGGCATAAAATACATACAGCCAAGTACATACATGTAAAGCTACAGCCACACTGTAAACTTACTGTATATTTCAACTTTGTATATCACCAACATGAACTGAAAACCAGTTGTGGTAGTAAAAATTTACAAATAAATCAAATCTTCATATAATGTCTCCTTCTTTTTTTCAAAATACAAAATATATAGCCCTTTAGATTTACTGGCCATAACCCTTAGATAAATACGCTCATGAGTATGAGGCTGAATTTGAATAAATAGTTTGTTTTAAATATCATAAATTATTAATTATCATCAAGTGTACCTCAGTCATGGTATCAAGCATCTTCCTATGTCTTACCACAGGAACATCAAACATTTGAGCACGATGAATATCATCATCACTTTTACTACTGAAGTTTACAGAGGTCATGCCTTCAATGTCTTCTCCTTTTTTGCTGTTCGAAATGACCTCTAGCATTGAATCTAGACTGCTGGGTCGTTTCATTGTAGGACTCACACAGTGTTTGCATTTTGCAATTACAGGATCAAAATTGTCTGAGACACCATCACTTGTGAGGAAGACGATGTCTCCTTGATCAAGAAATGTCAATGAGAATGTCAAATTACTCAAATCTGGGTTGTATCCATCTACTGGACCAAGAGATCCTCCTGGACAACGCATATCTCTTTCCTCAGTTTCAAAATGAGAGCCAATAGTCACTTCTTGAACTCCTTTACTCTTTTTGTAAGTAAATGCAAGGGTGTCTCCGACATTGACAACACACAGACCCCATCTGTTGCTAGCCTCAAGCTTACAGACCACAGCTACACATAATGTAGTCATTGTTGCATTTTTGTTCAAAATACACTGCTGCGCATGTTCAAATGCTTTTAAAAGAAAGTTCATGATGTCTTGGGTTGTGCTTGCTTTGGACAGGTGAATACTTAGGTACTGTAGACAGCCTGCTATAGCACAGCGTGCTGCAAGTCTTGACTTTTCTCCCCAGTTCACCCCATCAGCTAATGCTAAAATGCAACTGTTTTCTCCAGCAACCACTGCATAGACATCAGCCACTGGATCCCCAGACGTATGATTGGTGACTGGATCACAGTCATACAAAGAAGTTCCAATGCCATAAGCCCTATAGTGGCGCTCAGTCCATCCACCAAATGGTTCACAACCATCAAAGGTTTTGCTTTTCCGATTTTTATCTGATTTTTTACCAGGTGACAGAGGTTCTAATGTGATATTCTTAATTCCTTCATCAGGTCCTGTTGCTTGTACATAGTATCTTTTCCCAGGTGAAACTATTCTTTCACAAGGTAAATCACTGTACTGTCTGCTCCAGTGGACTTCATTCTGTTTTACCATGATGTCCCTAAAGAAAAAAGATTTAGTTCAATTTCTCTCAGTTTTAAAATGACTACAATTAAGTGTACATGTGTTGTAAGGAGCAACGTCACAGGAATTATTTTAATGTTATTTTACAATGTGCAAGTGTAATTATAATACTGTCAGTATACTGTACATAATCATTGCAAGTTTGCTAAATTATGAGCAGGTACGTTTTCAACATTTTTCAAAATATAATTCCTGCAAAGGAAGCAATATTTTTAGTTTCTGTCAACATTGCTATGGCTCCTCTAATAATATAATGCAAGGTATGCCTGCCAACTTGCTTTAGCTGTATTATTTTGTAAAAATGTCATAACACCCAAGGAAATCTTTGCACACCTTTGGATAAAAGTAGGTCCTACACAAAACCTCAGGACAAAGCTGAGGGTCTTGTGCCTTTGAATTTAAAAAAAGGGGCAGGTGTATCACAAGGTTGTCTTTTCTGTCAACCTCAAGCTGCCTCTGTGTGGCAATTATTTACATGTAGGTCTCCTCCAAGTTGTAAATTGCACACTTGTTTTCCTCACAAACATCCCTCTATAATAACTGTAAATTTGACCAAGTTTAACAGACATGGTCTTGCAGCAGATTGTAACTATGCCATGTGAATACTGCTCTATTATATTTTTTTCACATTCATTTTCATCACTGGATGCCATTTTATTTCAGTAAGTTTCACTTGGGCATGTGATTGCCTGTCAGGAATGTGAAAGATGATGTACATTGTAAGCACACATCCTGGAAATAAATTCTCAAAATGGCGGCCGAGTGAAATGACAAATTCAACAGAGTAACGACAACTTTCTCTAACAAAACATGTTTATACACAACGCTTAAGTATGAACCAATTCTTTGTTTTATACTACATTATCAAGTTTAACAAGGGAGGTAAATGAATTGCATGATCTATCCACCACAAAGCCCTGAAGAATCAGAACTTTTTTATGGACCTGTTCAATGCCCTGAAGTAGTTCATCAACAGATCAAAATTGCTCAAGTTTTAATTTATGAGGAAACTTTCATAACGCAATTATTTCTCATGAAATCTACGAAAAACTTCCCTGCAGCACGTGCGAAGATTAGTGTCATAACCAAATGAAATCATTCTTCCTCAGCTTCTCGATGCATAAATTCAAACTTCTAAAGCTACAGTAAAACGGGCAACAAAAATGTGCAAGTTGTTTTGTTACATAATGCTGCAAAACGCGTTGAACAGCAATACTGTGCATTTTACCACCCACAATCAATCAAACCTGCCTTGCAACAAATCAGGCTGTTGCAGGTTGCAAAAAGGTGTTGCAGGAAGTAGACCTCCTTTTTGCAACAAAATCTGTACATGTTACACGTTTTACCAGCCCAAGGCAAACTTGAATTGTAGCATGTGACATAAATCCTGTGTATGGTGTGACTCCTGTTTTTATCTAATAAGAGGTCAGTATTCAAGCAACTTGCAAAAAACCTGGTTTGTTGCAAGACAGGTTTTAAACTGGGTGGTAAAATGTGCAACACAGTTTTTCAACTCATTTTGGAGGAATGTCACAAAACAACTTGCACATTTTAGCAAGGTTGTCAAAAGTAGCTGGCTGATGGCGAAAATAGGCACCTACTTGGTTAGTATCAGCTAGATATTCTGCTTGGCATTTCTTTATGGATGGTGTTTTTAAAATAAAATACCCCTGGACTGGCCACTTACTTTGACAACTCAGCCATCTACTTTAAAACTTTCTGACAACCCTGTTTTTGTTGCCCGTTTTACTGTAGCTTAAGACGTTGCAAGATCCATCCCCCCGCAACCAGACCACTGAGAGTTTGATTAATGAAAACTGACACCCAGTTTAAGTTCTGGCTATCTCTGATCAAAAAAATAATAAATTATTGCAAGTAACATACGTTGATATAAATATGGAACGAAAATCAGGCTTTCTGGAGCAAAAAAATAAGAAGCACACAAGATCAGATAGGACTAGGAGATTCTGGACAAAAGCACATTATATGGACTCAACAGGAATTGTAGGTGCAATAAGGCAAACGCTTAAGGATAAAGAACTGCAACATTGGATGAGTGAAATGAATAACAACATTAAAAGAGACACTGACCAAAATAGCAAAATGAGAACATACAGTACTGAAAATTCAAAACAACAGAAAATTACAAATGGTCATCAATACCTGCCACAGAATAACTAAAACAAAAATGGCAATTAAGCCACCACAAACTCACCATAGAAACAGGCCGATACTTAAGACCTTCAACTTAAGACCTTATAAAAAACCTGAAGAAAGAATATGTCCAATTTGTAAACTAGAAGTGGAGGACCAATATCCCTTTTTCACTGTATGCCCCACTTACCAAGAAAAAAGAAATGTTCTATTCAATAACTTGAAAAATGAACACCTTGAAAGGGGGAAAGCCTATAGACAAACATTTGAGACTGCTGTTCCAAGGTCCTTTTGGCCAGAACAATGACTGTTGACAAGTTTGAGTAACATCCCCTTTTTGGTCTGCATGTAGCATGCGATTCGAATAATCACTCGTAAACAGGTCTTCTGATCTTTAACATGGCGACTTCTGGCACTTGACTGATGAGTTTATTTGGCTGCAATGAAGAGCTTTACACTTCAAAAGAGCTCAAACACAGTGTAAAATGTTCTTGCATCAGAGGTCAAATCACGCCGACCAGAAACAATGACTGTAGAATATCAACATGCATGTCATGGCCTCTCAGTATGAAATAAGCGACAAAAATCACATTTGATCAGTCTATCTACCCTCCAGAGGAAAAACTCATTGGAACAAGCAGCATTTTGGCATGAGGTAAATGTCATGTTGCCTTTCGACCTCCGTTTTACTCACACTCACGCGCAAAATTGATTACAAATTCCAATGTATCCAGGTGGCAGATGACAATAGGGCCGTTTATACGAGAGAAAATAAGCCGCAGCTTACTATAGCTGAGGCTTACATAAGACGCAAAAGGAACCATTTGTACGAGTACGGCTTATATTAGACGCGATCTACTCGTATAAATGGTTCACGGCTTAGTTCGCGGCCAGATCGGTCCAATGATGACGTAGTTTGTTTTGGTGCCTCGTTTTGGGGTAATTGCGTTTGCATCTCACAACAATGGGTCGGGCAAGCAAAATGCTAAATGACTGACTTTGGCCCGTCAAAAACCCTGTTTTTTCACTGTCTTTTTCACATTAAACTGTCTCTTTGGTCCAGATTGGTGGTGGGTTCCCAGGTAATTAATTGGTCAAAGAAAATTATGAAATTTATGCGAAAACCACGACGAAAGATTCGACAGCGATTCGTTGAGTGGTTTCATCGAGATGTCCCTGCAATCTCAAAAATTGATACGGAAGCATGTGTTTGAATGCTTTACAATAAGAAACGAGAAGGAAGACAAAAAGTACATTGACGTAGATCAAAATATTTGTTTGTGTGTATGTAACTGTCGCTATTTGTAATAACTTGTTAAGCTTAAGTACAGTGGAATAAAAAGCTTAACATAGAAGATTGTAATTTTAAATTTGAAAACAGTTGATGTTCCAGCTGAAATATTACGACCCCCCAAAAAAGTCTTGTCTTGTCTTGCTCACAGGCTATTACTTTAAAAGCAAACATAAAAAACGAACGCCTTTTCCAGGTTCCATCTCAGAGAAAGTTTGCTTAGCTTTACAGGTGTGGTACTACTAACGACTATAGCTGAAAAAATCAGGGACGTTTTAGCAAGCAACAAACAATCAAGGGTCACGTACAAAGGTTATGAAGAGAGTTGTACAATGTATAACACACACTTAGTGTGGTACTACTAAGGATATAGCTGAAAAAATCAGAGAAATGTTAGCTAACAAGCAATCAAAAGTCACGTACAAAGGTTATGGAGTGTGTTGTACATGTAGCGGATTCATTTGCGCCAGTCTAAAGATCTTGAAAGAAACGAATAAAACAAGACCTAGAATGAAGCCTTTGTGTTTGTCAGCAACAACGGTAAAAAAACGCAAGGTTACGTGCATTGTATCACGAACTGCAAGATTCCTGGAAGATCGATGCAAAGCTTCTTATAAGATAGGCTTAAGTCGAAAATGAATATTAATTGCAATTTTGTCGGTTCTTTGCCATCGATGAGCTGAATGTACATCAATTGTATCACGAACTGCAAGATTCCTGGAAGATCGATGCAAAGCTTCTTATAAGATAGGCTTAAGTCGAAAATGAATATTAATTGCAATTTTGTCGGTTCTTTGCCATCGCTGAGCTGAATGTACATCAATTACACCTTGTCTTGAGTCAGATTGTTCAAGAAGTCACAAATACCGTCTCGTCACTGTCTAGTACCTTATCACGTCCTCCAGTGTCCTGCAGCGGTCTTCTTCTTCTTCGACAGATTCGGTGTCACAGTCGCTCATGATCTCACTATCAGAACCTTCACTGCCTAAAATATTGTGAATGACTTTTGAACGTGCTAGTATTAAGCTCTCAAAGTCAACCATTTCTTTACAAGCTGTTTGCCAACGTTGGTTTCCTTTACAATTGCAAGTGTATGAATCATTGACAAGGTATCGATCCCGTGACGATAACATCACGTGAAATGAAACGAGTTGAAACCGTCACAAAATCACGTGATCGGTGTATCCGTGACAGAACGCAGACTCACGCTCACGTAGCAGTGAGTCGCTGACGTGCCAGAGCGTAGCGTCCACATTGGTTTCATTGTGCATGTGACGTTTGGAGTATTCATGAATAAGCCAATCATATGACAGCTATTTTTAACAGCTGTTTTTTGTTACTATATATGTGACATCGATCAGTGTGCATGAGGAACATTATGGTGACAGAGCTTCAAGATGTGCTTGTGGTGTGAAATACCTTTGGCTGAAAAAAAGGCGTTTTGGCAAGGTATGATAGTCATTTACTTATTTTTTCAATCCCAGTGATTTCAAGGAATGGTTGTATACCAAGAAGGTTAAGCCAGGAACTTGTTATGATTTCATTTCAGCCTGATATATGATGTATTCCAGTTTTAGTATAGACTTTGTCACGGTTTAGGAAGCCATGTTGACTAGAGGGCAACCGCGTGAGAAATTACAGTGTTTGTATGAGACTCCAATGTCGAATGATTTCCGTAAAATGCCTGTTCTGCAAAAAAATATGAATTGTAAACTAAAGCAACACAGCAAAGGATTCTACTAACAAATTTTTGGGGCCGTAAAAATTTCTCCAGACGCTTGCGAGTCTAGATTTTCCGTGTACAGTGACGTGACACTTTGACGCGCTATTCGTGTGTCCTCGGCGTTCATCTTTCAAACGTTTGCTGAGGTCTGCTATACTATTCTGTCTTCGTAAATCGTGCATCTTTTAAAAGTGTGCTGAATTTTCGTAAAGCGTACATATTTAAGAGTTTGTTGAAGGTCTACTATCGATCTGTGTTTAATGAATCTTCCAAAACGTTCATCTTTCAAAAGTGTGCCGCAAGTTTACACCATGAGTAAAATTTTACTTTGGATTAAGCCCTCATATTTTTCTTTGGAAACTGATACGTGCTACTCCTGGTGCATGCGTCAAACCGGGGTGTTTAGTTCGGTGTCCATTGTGCCACAAAGTAAATTTACCGGCGAGTTGTGAAGCTCTTGTGCCACAAAGTAGGTAAAAGTAGGTAAGCCTGCCAGGCCGGGTCGGATCAAATCGGATCGAATCAAAAAATAAAAATAAAATAAAACTGGACACGGATCAACTCGGATCATAAAAAGAAAAATAAAATCAGTCGGCGTCACTTAACTTTCACCCGCCAATTTGGTTTTTTTCTCACGAACTCGTGGTTACGTAAATTAATTTCATTTTTATTTTTATTAATTTTAATGATACACTAGTGAGCAGCACACATACACTTCCAGTGAATATTTTCAACTTGGAAGGAGGAGAAACCATGCTCGCCCGGGACAAAGGAAATTTTCATGCCCCTGGCGAGAATCGAACTCGCGACCCGGCTTCATTTTGTTGGACGCTCTTAAAAATAACTGAGAAAATTATCCAAAGAAATGTTTTTTAATAAAACATAAAGAAACCCGGGTTAAGCGCTGATCGGCCTTCGAACAACTGCGCCCTGTAGAACATCTGTTGCGCCAGTAAAACAAAAAGTTCTTTTTACACGCCTGAAGCACTCTGGCCAGTGTCTCCTCAAATAACAAGCACTCGAGACGAACCATACGATATCATGCTGATCACTAGCCTTCAAAGCCTTTTCATTATGATACGTAGTTTAAATCGAGGTTTCGCTGTACGCAACCCTTACGTTCAAAATATGCCATAATGATAGTTATTATTCATTCAAAATATTTCCCGGATTCTGATTGGCTAAAAGCACACGTTTAATTCACCGTAACCAGTTACTGATGACCAAATTTGGAAGAATTTTGTGTTTAACGAGGAAATGACGTCAAAAATGCAGCCTTATACAGGTTAATGAACCATTAACCGAGACGACCTGGGGACGAGGTTGAGTTGTTTTGGTAGTGAAAACAAAAATGGCAGACACTTCACTCGTTTCAAGAGTAAGAACTACAACTGGAACTAGGCGAAGTAACAGTAAAAACATAGCAAAAACAGCAAGAAGACAACTCGGAGGGCGACATCTGCTATTTGGAGAATATTTGCGGAGCTGGACAAACCTAAACGTACACTATCGATGATGAACTGAACATCGATGGATCAATGGAGGTAAGCATGTTTTAGCAGTCTGCTATGTTTTTAAACAAGGAATTATTTTGAATGAATAATAAAACAATTATTGAATTCGGCTTTCGTATCATATGAAGAATTATGGAGATCGAGGAGGGTGTTATCCGCCTCGGCCGTATAACACCCTCCTCGATCTCCATAATTCTTCATAAGATACTCAGCCTCATTCATTAATTGTTAATTATCTATCACAAGAACCATCCACCCTTTCCCCTCAACTGCTACCTGTACGCCTCCGATTACTCCTAGTTTCTATTGTTGAAAACCTCTATTAAGCGGACACCGGACTGAATTGACAATAGTATCGGGGGTGGAAACGGAATAATTGGATCACGATTATTCAGTATTCCTTGTTTTTCCCCCAGTTATTCTTTATTCATTTCTAATTTTTCCTTGATATTTATTACTCATTTTTTAGTTTTTATATCAATTTTCCTTTTCAAATTCCCTTTCTGTGAATTATATATAACAACTAAACAAGATAGAACTGTGATACTAAGTAACTTTTGACTCCATCACAAAGGAAGAGAATCTTACAGCAAAAAGGACGTAGAAACCTTGAGATTAACCAATATATGGAATTAATTTAAGTGAAATTTTCTACAATTCTATACTTTGGTTATCGAAAGTTTACATTTCAGTTTACATTCAACCTTATCTTTAGCAAGTACCTTTTGCTTCTCTAAACATGTGGTCAAAATAATGTTATCTTTTTCGATCACTGAATAGACTGTCTATGCAATTACTAAAACGTAAGGGATCTAACAACGGCACCTTTATAACCTTTTAAGGTTTTATTTGTTAGCTATTGTGTACTTAAAAGTAGACAGGTTCACTTAGGTGGTGATCTCAAAACGAACACGATCCACAATAGGGTATGGTATTCTTTACGAGAGTGGTGTACAAATTTATTTTATCTTCAGGCAGATCGCGAGCGGTTTTATTTCCGGGTTTGCCGCTTTGTTTTAGCCTGCGAACAGCAGACGCATTGCTCGCAGGCTACTTTGTTTTGGATTTCACGGATTTCGCGCAGACTCCAGTATTTGCGATGGGCAGAAAACTTGAAATGATTTCTTTTGTCTTCCGTTTTTATGGGATCATTTAACAGCTATGAGTTATTCATCATTCCGAGGCTAGACATTGTTATTCATAATTCCGGATTTGCCAACTCCAAATATTCATTATTCATTTTCTTTTAAACCCCGTTATTCATTATTCAGCTTCCACCGCTGAAATAGTAGTATTGGATTACGTCCTTGAAATACGTATTGTAGTCGATTAATAAAGATAAATCAATACATTTAGCTTCAACAAACTGTAGATTAGACCGATACATTCGGCCGTTGTCATCCGCGATCAAAGCTCACCTGAAAGTCTTGCACAAAGTACCGCACAGCTTCCTTAATTTTAGCTGATTTTAGAAGAGAAATTTTTAAAGACAAATGTATAAAAAATTTTAAAAAGTGGTTTTAGCGCATGTAGCTGCATATACCGCCCTCAACTTTTTTCAGAAGAATCTTTAAGAGTGAAGCTTTACTTTACAATTCATATTTTTTTTCAGAACAGGCGTTTGACGGCAATTATTCGACAGTAGATTCTCATACAAACACTGTAATTTCTCACGCGACTGCCTACCGCCAAGATGGCTTCCATAACCGTCGCAAGGCCTATTTACGGGAAGGGGACCCGTTCTCGCGACACCTACCCCCTGTTAACTTCATCTCCTAAGGGGTGGACCATTGCAAATAACCGCAACAGTGTGGGGGGCGGGGGAGGGTTGAAAATTTTTCAGTGCACGAGAATTTTTTTTTCAGCTCACTTGTCTGCATTTTTTTCTGGCGCACAAGCTTTGCACGAATTCTTTTTCAGCAGCCAACACTCCGTCGTTAAGACTACGAATTATATTTTCTATGCCCCGGGATCGATTCTCAATGTAAAGCTAAGTAGGTTGCAAGATCATCAGAATTAGTATTAGTATTCTCGGTTTTCACTCACGTGAGAAAACAGAAATAAAAATCGAAACCTTTCAATACAGAAAGTCTAGCATTCTGGAAATGAAAGAACATAAATATACAAAAAGCCTTGCCTAGAATCAGGTCTATGCAATAGTTCATATGTGAGATATTCGGAAAAAACGTTTTACCCAAATTTATAAAGCTTTGTATGGAGACGCCATGTTTGTGTCCCTTTCTGGGGCACAAATATGGCCGCCGGAAACCAACAGAAACAACTGTTTTTGAGTTTTCCTACTTATAATGCGTGAATTCTTCGCTTGAGGAACTCATAAAGGTTAAAGTATTATTCATTCTAAGACAAGGAATGTTTAGATGGCAAAATCTCCAAAAATCCGTAATGTATTTAAGCAGAAACTCATTTTTTCTGATTTAACCCACACAAGAGCTTTCCCGGCCGCCAGCTAAATGCCGCGTCTTTCAAAAGCCTGGAAATTCAGGCGTCCTGTATCGCAAAACAAAGAACCCTTTTGAACCGAACATTTTTTGTCATAAAGGTTTTAAGGTGTTCTAGTATCACATGCAACTAGAAACTCAGAAGAAGCGATAGTTTCTTAATTGAATTTTGGTGACGTCATGTGAAAACCAAGAATATGCACAGAGCCAAAGTAAAATGGGGAGAAATCTCAAGTCTGATGGTGGATATTTAGCCACCTCCTCTTCGGTGAATAATTGTTGTTCATAATTAATACGTTGATTATATAGAGAGTAACAAATTCAAAGTATATCTTTTGCATTAGGAAATAGGAAGCCGCTACGTTTGTTGTTTTTGTCAAATAAATTGGTACTGAGACACAATTGATGAATTTCAATGTTCTTCTGTTTTATGCTACCATTTCTCCTTACTTTTTCCTGTAATCGTATGTTGCGTGATTTTTTTTTTTTCGGTGCCACTGCTTG